GTGCATAGGCGACCAAGGGTGCTTAACAGGTATAAACTAGACGTTCAGGTGCATAGGTAGTTGAGTGTTTTGAATAGGTATGAACTACACATTCAGGTGCATTGGCAACTTAATGGTGCCAAATGAGTAGGAACTACATGTTTTGGTGCATATGCAACCGAGGGTGTTGAACGAGTACGAACTACAAGTCTAGGTGCATAGGCGACTGAGGGTGTCAACAAGTATGAATTTCACATCTAGGTGCATAGGCGGCTAAGCATGTCGAATGGGTATAAATTGCATGTCTAGGTGCATAGGTGGTCAAGGGTGTTGAATAGGTATGAACTGAACATTTAGGTGCATAGGCGGTCGAAGGTGCCTAACGAGTATAAATTGCACATCAAGGTGCATAAGCAACCCAGGATGCCAAGAGGTATGAACTACATATCTAGGTGCATAGGTAGTCGAGGGTGTCGAACATGCATGAATTGCACATCTAGATGCATAGGCAGTCGATGATGCCAAACATGTATGAGTTGATCATTCAGGTGCATAGACGGTCAAAGTTTTCAAATGAGTATGAACTACATGTTTAGGTGCATAGGAGATCGAGGGTTTTGAACTAGTATGAACTGCATTTTTAGGTGCATAAGCAGTTAAGGGTGCTGAATGGTATGAATTGCACGTTCAAGTGCATAGGCGATTGAAATTGTCGAACATGTATGAACTACACATTTTGGTGCATAGGTGATCGATGATGTTGGGTAGGTATGAATTGTACGTTCAAGTGCATAGGTGATCAAAGGTGCTAAACGAGTATGAACTACATACATTCAAGTGCATAGTGAAGTGATTGCTAAACTACAAGAAGGGGGTTGAATTGTTTTGTTCTTTAAAAATTAGTTCTTTATGAAATTTTATTCTTTATAAGGTAGGCCTTTTGAGTATTGAAACTTAAAGTATTATTCTGAAAGTAGTTTCTGAGCTTATTGGTTTTCAAAATAGATTATGTAGCAATAGAATACAAGATGTAGTAAGGTAAATAAAGTAGGTAAAGAGATAAAGCAAAAGAGATTGCACACAAGTTGTATACTGGCTCACCCCAATTGGACTACATCTAGTCCCCACACAAACTTGTGGTATTTTCATTATCACAACCAATTGCTAATCAAGAACAACTCAGCCACCTACTAATGCATAAACACTACTACACAACCTTTTGTTGTTAGTAGTCAACACTCAATCACCTGCTAAAATTTCCTCACTCAACCAGTTGTTGAGAAAAAAATCCCACAATCACCTGCTATGGGATTACACAACACTTATTGTGGTTCCTTTCTTCCTTCCTATACCTCTACACACTCAAATTTAGGTAGGAAAGGTGTTTACAACAATGAGTTTTGTACCTTGCACATTGTTGAGATTACAACAAGTTCTCTTATAATGGAGCTTCCACTAAGAAAGATAGACACTTGTTTTTCTATTACAAGATTGATATTAAATGATGAAGTGGAGATCTTCAAACCTTTTGAATAGAGTCTTCCGTTCAAGTCTTCTAAGAAGTTATGTTTTAACTAAAGCCTTTTAATAGATAACTCAAAGTGATAGTCTTCTAAGCCAAATCCTCAAGACATTCCTCTTAAGAAGCAATGTTAAATTTGAACCACTTTGAACAGAAACACAAGATGCTCATCATTTTGCTTGGGACAGACAAGACTTTAGTGTTAATGGGCAGTCCAACTAGATTGATTCATATGTAAAGATGTCTTATGAACCTTTTGAACTGCTTAAGTCAATCTTCTGATCAATTATAAATACTTCTGAAACACTTGAACAAAATTATTAGCACATCACATATAACTCTTCTACACTAAAATTTGAAACTAAGAGTTCGTCATTATATTAAAACTTATATTTTAGGCTAAATTCAACGCATAGGTGGTCGATGGTGTCAAATGGGTATAAACCATATAAGTGCAAGTATATAGGTGACTGAGGGTGTCAAACGAGTATGAACCATATACGTGCAAGTGTGTAAGTGGCCAAAGGTGTCGAATAATGAGTCACCTCTCTTTTCTTTACCGATCATTTGGTATCTTCTATTGTCGAGGGGGTTTAGGCATACCTAACAGTATTTAATTTTTTAATAGTATAGATATACACGAAATAAATTGTGCTAATTAAATAATTACGGTTTTGAATTTTAAAAGCTAAGTAATGATATTCATTGCATGGATATTTTTATAAAATATTAAAAATAAGATAATACATTTACTCTTCATTTTTATAAATATACTATATATTATTTCACAAGTTTAATTTTATGTACTGACAATATAAAAATATTTTACATTGTCAAGAATATGTGTGAATTTTAATTACTTTTGTAAAATTTAATAAACTTATCATATATAGTTATTTTTATTGGAAGATAACATTAAAAACTATTTATATTACACATTTTGTTTATTACATGACTTCATTTTGTGGTTATTTAAAATAACAACAAATAGTCCTAAAAAGAAAAAAAGAGCAAATAATTGTATAAAATGTCAACGAATGTTGTGCAAGACTTTGTTAATTAAACTAATGGTGAATGAGTGAATCATGACTAGTCAATGGCTTTTATACCGTATGGGACCGAGGCCGACTTGACCGACCAGACCGAAGACCCGAACCCAACAGAGACCGAAATCGATACCCGAACACACCGAACACTCGCCAAACAGAAGGGGTCGGTTTGCTCGGCCGATCCCCGGGACTCCACCAGTATGATTACGAAAGGATTAATTTAAGGAATAAGCCGGATTAGCCCCCTAATTTTCTGGGGCCCAGCTCCTAATCACAGCCCAATAAGAAACACTATAAATAGACCACCTTCGAGGTATGTAACTAATTTTCAACTACCGCATTTATTACGCCGAGCACTTACTTGAGCATTGGAGTGTCTTTGCAGGCACACCCCCCCTTACATCGGACTACCCGGATAGGAACGAGAAGACCGAGACCCAGGATCAGACCCGACATAACAAGATTTCTGAGATTTCCGAGGCGTCGATCCTGTCCAGGACGACCCCATGGTGATTTCTGTGGAGATGCATAATTGCATCGTGAAGAAGACTTTGGTCGATCAGGGGAGTTCCGCCGACATCTTGTACTGGAACACGTTCAAGCAACTCGGGATCCCAGAGGAAAGCCTAGAACCATATCACGAGCCGCTAGTAGGATTCTCCGGCGAAAGGGTAATGACCAGAGGATGCATCGACTTGTACACTCATTTTGGATTCGACCAGAAATCCTCACGAGAGATCAAAATCCGATACATCGTGGTGCATGCAAACACATCGTACAACATCCTTCTGGGCCGACCCTCCATTAATGCTCTTGGGGCGATTGTCTCGCCCCCCCACCTGTGCATGAAGTTTCCGGCGAGAGACGAACAGGTGATAACCGTGCATGCCGACCAAAAAACGGCAAGAGAATGCTATCTCTCCAGCCTTAAGGTACAACCACTGGCCGATTCCCCGAAAACGAAGGGTGTGAACGTAGTAAGGCAACAGACGATGGAGGACATCGACCTTGATCCTCGGTTGGGTGAAGAAGAACGAATCGAGCCAGCTGAGGACCTCATGACTTTCCAATTGGGCAGAACACCCGAGCAAATAACAAACATGGGATCCTAGTTGACCGAGACCGACTCAAGCCGAGTCAAGCGTGTAGTCAGGGACAACCGAGACCTCTTCGCGTGGACGACATTAGACATGCCAGGAATAGATCCCAAGTTCCTATGCCACCGACTAGCCGTATGCCGAGACGCACGACCAGTCGCGCAAAAGAAAAGAAAGATGGGAGATGAGAAGCGAAGTG